CTCTTAGTGGGCAATCGTGGCTCAAGAGTTGGGAGTTCGCCTTGTAGTCGGAAGGTTGCCAGTTCAAGCCCCGGCTTGAACAGTCTCGGTCGTTGTGTCCTTGGGCAAGACACTCCACCCGTTGCCTACTGGTGGTGGTCAGAGGGCCCGGTGGCGCCAGTGTCCGGCAGCCTGGTGTGCCCCAGGGTGGCTGTGGCTACAATTTAGCTTGTCATCACCAGTGTGTGAATGACTGGATGTGTAAAGCGCTTTGGGGTCCTCAGGGACCCCAAGCGCTATATAAATACAGGCCATTTACTCTTTTTATAATATGAAAACACTTCATAAGCACATCTAAGTGCAAGACATCACAGTGTGATCAAGAGAAACATTATGTCTGTTTCCTCTGACTCTACTTAAACAGAGGGAAGACCTGTTTGCATGACTGTTGTTTTTTGTGGACCCAAGCAAGCACTAAATGCAGGTTTTTGCCTCAGATATTGTTGCACATTTCCTGCTTGTAAGTAAACTGAACTTTTCTCTAAGAGTCCATGCCCTTGACAGAACGATTGGGCCACACAAATGGATTCAGTTGTCCAATGTTCTTTTGTTCAACATGAAGCTCAATTGGAAAGACATGAACAAATACTGCCACACATCTCTGGATAACAGGATGCCATGCTCCAAAGGCCGAGTTCACCAATGTCTAACCCAGTTTCACCCCAATCAAATCCCAGTTCTTCCTCTGTTGCTACTGTTTCTCCACCTCAGCTTACAAGTCTTCTCTGGTGAGTTGGAGAAAAGTGGTGGCGTCTTCACTCAGTGTTTTCTGGCATTTAGGTAGCGGAGCCATGCCTATTCATCTGACAGTGCTAAGCTTGCATTTTCTTGTAGAACTATTACAAGAACACATGCTGCAGTGGGCACAGGTGGTCCTAAATTCTCACCCTGACCTGTCATATGTGAATTTTCTTTCCAAGTTCAGAAGTTTTTTCAACAAGGCATAGACTGTTTTCACTTCACCAAGATAAGAGAAGTGTTGCAGATTGATCCACTGATTTTTAGATTCTTGCAGTGGAAGCAGGATGTTTAACCATGTTAAATAGCAGCCTTACCTCAGATGTGAGGAAAATCCTTTCAGGTTGGATTTTTGCATGGTTTATGACACAATATGGGGACTGAGTTTGCATCATAAGAACTCTCTGCCTCTTTGGAATTACTTATTTTGATGTGTATTACAATTGATGATCACATATGGGAGTATTGGTGCCCATTGGTCACAATTCTCAGGAAGCATTGCATTGGAGAGTTCCCAGCTCTGGTGGAGTTTCCACAGAGAAGCAAACTATGCTAAGCCGCAAATAAGACAATGAATGAGGCCAACCCATCCAACCCACACCCTATATTGTCCTTCCTTTCAACCTGTTGCTACCGTGTTCACTAAAACCTGACCTGTGCAACACCTATCACCTTGTCCCAATCAAAGAGTGAAATGGAAGGCTGCTTTCGACTAGCTCAGTTTCGAGTTTCCAGTAATGCCATGTGGCCTCAATAACACACCTACAGTCTTCCAATTCTACTTAAATTGTTTTGTTTACAATAGCTCTGTTAGGTCCTCCAAAAATCCTTCAGAACAAGTTCTTTATTAAGGGAAAGAAATGTGAATTTTATGTTTATCCCGTTTCTTTCCTACGCCACATCATTGACATCATTGAATCAACGCTGACCTGGCCAAGGTGCAGGCAGTAGTCGACTGGTTCACCCAGAAACAGCTCCAATAAGTTTTGCTAACTTTTATCACCTTCCTTACACTCGTCTCACCTCATCCAAAATTCCTTTTCAGTGGTCAGAATCAGCACAAGCAGCTTTCACTCAAGGAATATTTACTTTCACTGTTCTCATCCAGCCAGACACCACCCAACAATTCATTGTAGAGGTGGATGCCTGAGATTCCTGGATGGGTGATGCCCTCTTGCAACAGAAGGAAGGCAAGCTGTACCCATGTTGGGTTTTTTCTCATTGTTTCTCCCCAGCAGAACATAACTGCGATGTCTGTGACCAACAGCTCTTTATCGTGAAACGGAACTGGCCCTGGAAAAGTGGATACACAGGTTGGGGGGCACTGAGCATCCTTTCATTCTTTGGACAGATCATAAAAACCTCACCTACCTCAAAGCAGCCAAACACCTCAATGTCTGGCAAACTGGGTGGACTCTGTTCTTTACCCTTTTTTAACTTAGTTATCATTTACAGATCCTGATCCTGGAATATAAGACCAGACCTGTCAGTTTTCATCCTCTGATTTTGCTTCTCTTACATAGGAGATTGAGTTCCTGGTGCCTTCTGACCTCATTGAAAGTGGGCCTGTCTATTGTAAGAAGGATCATGGATGTCAGGAGACATGGGAGGGGACTCCAGTCATTTTGGGATTCCCACCATTTGTCTGGCATTGCTAAGCACACTTGTGCGTCATCTTCAAATTACACTGCCTCTGCTCAAAAGGAGAGAAGACTTTCATTCAGGACATGATTGCTGAACTAACACCCCATAATCAGCTCCTGTCTGAACATTTGGCTTTGTTTTTGTCCACATTTAAATTCCTGTTCAGGAAATCCTGGTGTATTTTGGGAGAGAGTTTGGTGACAGCAATTATCTTCATTAGATTGTTGTTTTGTGGAGCTACGCTTGCACTAAACAAAGAGTTTTGCACATTTCCTGCTTGTAAATAAACTTAACTTATATTCTAAGTCCCACATTTGAGTTCATTCAGTCTTTTTCCCTTATCACAGCTTCAATATTTAAAATAATAATACTTTCAATGCATTTCTTTAAAACTGACATAGTGTCACAGTGGCTGTGTGTCTTACAAATGCAGGACCCAAAACACGAGGAATAAACTATTAGGTGGTTTTATTAAAGTACACTAAAGCACAAAAATAACATGAATAACAAACCTAGGAAAATCACATCTTTGACACAAGAACAGACTGCAAGGGAGGACACAAACATGAGGGAGAACAGAAGCCCACTTTAGGATGAGTATTTGTCAGACATGAGAGCAGCTTTTTCTTCCCCCATAAACCTAACTTTTGTATTTGTCATCAAGGTGACATAAGACGACTGTTAGGGTGGAGGCAGAAAAAAGTTGTTCAGAAGGTTGATAATCAGGTCTTTTTATTAGTTCTTTCACATTGTTTTATATACAGCGCAGCCAACGAAAGAAAAATAAATTAGAAAAATTTAAAGGAAAAAGATAACATTTCCATTTAAATATAATCCTAACAAAATTGAAACAGATTTGTACTTCATGGGCAAACCCCCTTTAACAAGGGCCTCTGACACTACGGGCCACCTACATCATGACCTACCATACTGCCCCTCCAAGAGAGTGGCCTCCCACTCGTTGAAATAGCAATTAAATACCACTTAAGGATTAAATAAATTAATAACGCTCAATCTGTCATTCAAATATAATGATGATAAGTTAACAGTTGGAACATTAGCAAAAATATTTTTAGAAAATGCCTCAATTCTGCAAATGTTTAAAACCAACAGATTCTTTAACCTCACCAAATGCCACCCCTCCTTCATCCTACACTTGGCACATTCCCTCCCAGGAACTTTACCATAAAAGGAGGCCAGAAATGGCTTTTGCGAGCTAGAGGTCAGGTGTAGTCTGGAGGGGAGGTGAGAAACAAAGTAGACACAAATCTTAAAATACTATGCAACTTTTTCCATTGATTTTAAAATAGTCTGTTTGCGAAATATACAACAGTTAGATTAAAGGCACTGCGGGATGATTGGAGATCACAGGCTCCCTGTGACAATGACATTTTGTCATTATGCAGCTTATGTACTTCTGCTTGCGTTAATTCATAGATTGGCTAATCAAACTTCGTGGTTTTTTTTGGGTTTTTTTTTTAGGGAAAATATTACAATTGTGTATTTGTATGTGACTAAGGAGGTTTTTTGTTTTTAAAAAGTGAAAAAGTTAGGGTTCAAATTTGGTTTTATAAAAAAAAAAAAAGGTCAAGGGGGGGGTGCTGGGAAGTGTTTTAATGCAGCAGATGAGGCGCCAAAACTGAAAGTGAAACTTTCGCGAGCAGCAAACGAGCAGGAGCTACGATTAATGGTGCCAGCAAAGACAAGATGATAAGAAATAAAGGTTACACACGCTTACAACTACCGACACATTCACACTGATTGGTGTTTAAGGTGCATCGTACCTGTTAGTGCTTTGTTCAATGAGACACGACTGGGAGGGAGTAATGAATGGGTTCATACATATATATATATATATGTTTGTTTATCTGGACGCAGGGAAAGCGAATTTCCTCTGGACTTTTTCCCCTCCATCAGCACGACGAGGGGAAATTTGGCCATCAGCGATAAAAGGCGCCCAGAATAACAGGATCTTCGTTAAGCGTGGAAGGTACTGACAAGGTAAGGTTGTTCTTTACACATCTGTTGATATTTGTCTCATATATATGAGAGAGCGCGTGTGAAGTTGAGCACTGTAACCAACTGGGAAATTGCAAAAGAGGGGGCGGAGGAGCTAATAACTTAAAAACAAAAAAGGTTCATGTTAAATAATGACGTAATAATACAAAATAAGAGTGGTTATAAATTGCACAAGTATTATATAAGTAGGTGTGGCTTGTTTAATATTTAAGCACTTTGAGTTGACTGATTCCTTTTAGCATCACAAATGCTGCTGTTAATATCAACTTATCTTTCCACAGAGTGTGTTATGAATTTATTTATCTAATTTTATTATTATTTCTTCAGGCAGTTGAACACTGATCAGTTGATGGCAGTGCATTTCCACTATTGCAGTGGGTTATTACAAGTGCAGCTTTACTGCCATTTGTAAATGCAGGTGTAATGTCTTTAAGCATGTGCATCCAAGAGCCTGTACTACTTTTATTGCATTTTTACTGACTTCCTTTGTGCCCTCTTCTTCCAATTTTTATTGATTTTTCATGATTACCTCCCTGTTCTGTCTTCTCTTTTTCACTCAGATGAAGTGGTTTGCTTTCAGCATCATCTGTGCAGTTTTCCAAATCAGTTACCAGAATCCAACGAAGCACTGGACTCTGTTGCCCAACAGTAAGTTTGATAATAGGGAGAATCTGTCACCCTAAGTTTAAATGATTGATTCTTGCCCTCTTTTCAATCCCTTGAATGTGAATCTGTCCCCCGATAGTTCTGGTTTTGGAGGTGGATGGCACTTTGGGTGAGCAGAACCTGTTGTGTATGGAGTCGCCACAGGAGCTTATTGGGAGTGCCAACCAGAGCCAAGAAATCTTTTGGAAGAAGAATGGAATAGATCAAGCTCAGAGGGGAAACTCATATCGAGTGCAGCTAGAGGAAAGCTTAGGAGGGGGCAACTACACCTGCCACAGTGAGGATGGATCTCTTCTCAATCATACTATTGTTCTCATCAAAGAAGATAAGAGCAAAAGGCGGAAGATACTAGTGACAACTGATGAAGGTATGTGCAAATTTGACACAAATTATACAGCTGAGAAAACTGCATACATTTTAAAAGTATTTGTCTTGTGCTCTCTGAATCGTCTTGTTAGATTATCTCAAGTGCACGGCTCAAAATTACAGCGGCGAGTTCTACTGCTCCTGGACCTGGCACAGCAGCCGCAGTGGCAGAGTAGCATTTATCAAAGCTCATCGGTAAGCGCACGTTGTACTGCTGAAACACTTTCGGTTCTGCTCACCAATAACAACAAATCGTCATGTATGAGCTGAGATTGCAGAAAGACATCCATAAATGCCCAGTTATGAAAGGAAACTTGTTTGTGATTTTTTTTTTTAAAGGTCATGTACAGGGAACCGTATTCCATGTTTAAAAAATAATGATAATAATAATACAGCTGCAAATGTTTGTCCATGAGAATCTTGTACAACCACTTGACTATAAATGCATGTTTTTTACTTTTCTACAGTGTTCCTGACAGCAACGCAAAGTGCTCTGTGGATACCAGCGGCCAGTGGACGTGCTCCTCGGGTCACGGCAACTTCAGCTGTACCTTGAGCGACAACAGGATCTCCTGCCTGGACAAACAGCATTGCCCTTACGCCGAGGAGAGCAAGCAGATCTGCGTCACTGTGTTCGTGTCGAGCCAGCACTTTCTGTTGGAGGAATATGTTCAGTGCTTTTACTTGTCAGAGATAGGTGAGAATTCTTTGGAGGAAGCTTCCTCTTTTGTGGCTTTTCATTGTTTTGGTCTTACTCTGGTGTTTTGCTTCCGTCTTAAACAGTGAAACCTGACAAGGTGGAGATTGCTCAAGTCAACACCACAGTGATACAGTGGAGTTACCCGAGCTCCTGGAGCAGCCCCTACTCCTACTTCCCTCTCACCTTCCAGATTGCACAGCTCAAGGATGGTTGCGAGAGCTGTGACAACCCTTGCAACAACTATCAAGTAAATGCCATTTTCAGACTGTAAATATTCCCAGAGGAAGAAATGAATATAATGATACACCATATGTGTTAATTGATATGATACAGTGCATGAAGGGTACATGTATAAATGCGTTGGGTTTGTTTGTTTAAATTTCAGGCTTTGACACTCCACGCTACAGACACTTTTCAGTTCAAAGTGAAGCAAAGGGCTAAGGCCGTGTGCGTCAGAGCAAAAGATGCTTTCTCTTTCTCACAATGGAGCGAGTGGAGCCATAAAAGGTTGGTGCCACTCAGTAGTGTAACATGGGACACTCGGCATCCGTTTCTTCTGTGAATCTTGCAAGCCACACGTTTTTCCCCATAGGTGGTGATCACATGTCAGAGTGCCGACTGCGTGTTGTCTCTTGGCCTTGTCATTTCCACTTTTTACATAACTCACTGATGGCTGTGGTGTGTTTTTGAGCCTTAAACTTCAGTCTGTCACAGTGCCAAATGATTCCTTTCTTTCTTTTCTGTTTACAGGCTGAGGAACCACAGGAAGAAGAGGAACAAGCACCTGAACAAACGAGTATAAAAGAGGAGAATCGTGGCGCTTTACATATTTATTTTACAGAATAAAATTGTTTTTTTTGTAATTTCTAATTGTGCAAGTAAATAAAGTTGAGTTTTGCTAAGCTTGGATTTTTTGTCACCTGTCTGTTGCATAATATTGGTGAAACCAAATATAAGCTACCAATCAAATTAACACATCACCCAGAGTTCAGACATAATCAGGAGACACTATAGAAGTCATTCAAGAAATGACTGTAGCACTGTTTTTCCTATCAGCCTTCAGAAAGGTCAGTGATGTAATATTAAAATCCATTTTGCAGAGAACAATGTTTGAATAACACATGTAGATGGAAATCAGGTGCACAGAATTTCTGTCTTTTCCCTAACCAGTTAGGTGAGAGTGTAGTTTTCGGTAGAAACTCCTCTGTGCTCTGGGACAAAAAACAGAAGTTTCATAAAAACAATTGTTATTAGTCAAGATCTGGCACCTGTGGTTTCCTTTATGTGCTTCTTGCCAATACACAATTTGTGTCATGTTTGCTTTCTTTCTATCAATTGCCTTCTCCATGGTTATATTACAAAATTATAATTTCAGATTAAATCATCACGCATCTGCTTTATACTGAACTAGCTGACAGCTCTTAATTTTACATGGGATTCTCTAAAGGGCAATACTTTTCTGTAAGGTCAATATATTAACAATTAATTTCTGCCAGTACTGATGTATTAATAGAGCAGCATTTTCCCTTAGCTAAATACAGTAATATCAAAACTGAGCTCAGAGTTCCTCAGCATGCTTGGTTTCGAACACCCCTATAAGAGGAAGCGCACATGTGATATAATGTAAGCTTAGTCAAACAGCTAGGCAGTGACCTTTAACCAAAGGAATTGTCAATGTGATTAAAACTATTAGTCAACACAATCTGGCATTTTCCTTTGCCAGTAACTCTTCTTCACAGTGACATTGGGACATTGCTACAAGCATGACTGGTTATCAGCCTAGCGCTGGTGGCAGTAATGTTTACCCTACACATTGTTTTATATAGTTGAGGACAAAATAAACAGTGCCGGGCCTGAAAAAAGAATAATCCACAGTAGATGAGCAGTATCTGAAAGCCATGTCCTTAAGAAAT